CATGCTCTGTCTCTGTCTCTCAAAGATGAATAAACATTAAAAAAAAATAAATTAAAAAAAAATAAATTAAATTAAATTTAAATTATCTGCTTCTGACTTAATACACTAATTTCCAGTGGGGCTAAAATAAAAACTGTAATTACATAAAAAAAACATTTCAATACATATTTATTGCTTCCTAAGTAGACACTATATTGTTACATTACCAATATATCCGTACTCAGAGAATGAACACATACTTGTCCCCATATTTAAGACAAACAAAAATATTTCTACTTACCCACAAATAATATATTGCCTGTGTTTTACTATTGCTCACCAATTCTTTCTTATTTGTTGGATTAAAAATAAGGTAGTTCTGAAATATAAAGCATGGAAATATATTACATTACAATAAATTTTCTGTTTCTCTCTGGCTAAACTAACTGTTAAAATTAAATAATATTTTTATTATAATAAATAGCTGGATAGGAATATAAAACAGAAAAGACATGGCATTTTGTAAACAACAGGAATATAATCTAAACATCGAGTGTTAAAATTAATGGTCTCAAATTGAAAGGGCGGGCCTACGCCAGCCGACTCCATCTTGTTCTGTGTCCTTCACCTTGACCACACCTCCTCCCCTTGAGTAACCCCCCCTCACCTGCCTAACAGGACTCGGACCCTTCCCCAGGACCCTTCCCCAGCCAATCGGCTGAGGCCACAGCCATTACCTCACCAACTGCCCCTAGGCCCCAATAAAACCTTTGTCCTTTTGAAACTCGCTCTCTTTCCCTGGTATCTCACCGCTGCGTCGGTGCAGGTAGGGGATTGAGCTCGAGCTAGCTCGAATAAAGGCTCTTTGCTTTTGCATCGGACTCGGCTCCCTGGTGGTGTTTGGGGATCACGAATTCTGGGCATGACAAAATGTGTTCCCTTTCTCATTTAGTCTTATTTATTATAACTCATCATCTGTAAATTGGAACGAGCAAAAGTCGAACAATATTCACTAATAACCTTTACTCTGTGTCCTTTTGGACAAAAACTGCTGCATACACATTTCTAAATTTGACAAGGCCACAAGGTAACTTGGAATGAATGCCAAATACTGGAAGGAGTTTCTGATTCCTGCCAAGGCAGCGAATAGTACGGGTTGCCTGGCTCTCTTCCCAAAGAGCCCTGCAGCAACTATGGAAGCGAGGAAACCATGAAATGCAGGAACTAAATCAAACAGCAACAACACGGCAGAGATCCCCCGGGAGACTTAGGCACATGTCCTGCCAGGGTATGTATGTGGAGGGGGGAGGGGCTGGCTGCAACCTGAGGTGAAGGGCTGCAGCCGGTAGCCCTGGAAAACAGGTTCCAGAAACACATCTTAGGGGCACCTGAGCGGGTGGCTCAGTCCGTTGAGCGTCCGACTTCGGCTCAGGTCACGATCTCGCAGTCCTTGAGTTCAAGCCCCACGTTGGGCTCTGTGCTGACAGCTCAGAGCCTGGAGCCTGCTTTGGATTCTGTCTCCCTCTCTGTCTGCCCTTCCCCCCTCTCTCTCTCTCTCTCTCTCTCTCTCTCTCTCTCT